AAGAACACGATATAAACTATCAATCTGATAAATTCAATAATAATATGTCCTCATAATAGCGTTCATAATAGCGTAGGGTACAGACTTTATAATGTTCCAACTTTCCTAAGCCTTCTAAACTTGCCTAACAAGCTAGGCCAAGTTATTTATTTAAATACCAAAACAACTTAAATAATTAGAAACTAGATAAAAGGATAAATAATAAATAAGACGTAAATCAACTAGATACGAAGCCGGTCGAACTTATCCAAGAAAGCTATCGCGGCCTCGTCTCCATCAATGATTCTATTGTGATGAAACGTCATTGAACATTTATTCGTGTTATAGAGCTATTCCATAAATTAACTTCTTCTGACTTTTGGACACGTCATTGAACATTTATTCGTGGATCTTCATTTGTTTCAGTGCCATCTGACCCATCTTTAAAGGAAAAACAAAAATAAAAAACTGTGCATTCACGTTCTTACTTCTTAGTTTAGAGTTGAATAACTCTTGAGCTTAATATAGTCTCACTTTAAAATTTTTCTATTTTCCCTCAGACCCACGGGATGATCTCAGTGGGATGGATGTAGCTAGAAAGGTATGTACATTTTATCTACTGAATTTTTTAGAGTTCCTGCCTGACCTTTTCTATTTGAAGGTGATAGTTTTATAACTATTAAGTTTAAAGCATTTATGATTAGAAAAATGTGTGATAATAATAATCAAATAGAGATACTGACCTTTTTTATTTTACATTCTAAAATATAGGCACTGATCCTAGCTCGACTTCTTGGGCACCGCATCAACTTGGACAGTATTAAGGTTAAGTTCTATATAGTGTGCCTAAATCAATTGCATCCTTTGTTGAGTATTGTCACTTGACTTCTTGGGCACCTTAAGTGTTGTATTTAGGTCGAAAGCTTGTTCCCTGTGGACATGGGACCTGATGTGATGCCGCTGGAAGAATTTTTAGTGAATGGGCTTCCATTGATTGATAAAGATATCCAAAAACGGATAGATAATGCTGGTTCAAAAGGAAATGTATTGCGTTATGTTTGTTTGATTGAGGAGTCCAGGTAACTCGTTTATATCTCATATAACTGTTACAGCTGAATAGGAAAATAATATAAAATAAAATACAATCCAATCTATATCTATATATTAATAAAGAGAATAAAGTTTATAAATACACATTAAAATTTTCCACCAAATATTATTCAATTATTTTGAAATTATGTACCTATTAAAAGTCTAAGACTATTGGAAAGGAAACCAACATTCTATCATTCTTATAGGTACGTAAATTGAAATATACCTATAATTATATTCAGATTGCCATAAATCAACTATAATTAAACTATCATAACTTAATTATAAGTTTTAAAATAATATTAAAATAAACTAGTTTAATAATAAAGCCAAAGTTCAAAAGTAGCGTAGGATTTGTTGGACTTTTGATGATTTGATATATATCTAACTATTAAGAAATACTATTATTTTACTCAAAGTTAATAACATTTGATTTTTCATCATTTTTTTATATAACTATGTATTGTTAATGAGGAGACACTCCATAAATATATATCTATATTCATGTATTATTAGATAAAATATTATATAAATAAGTAAGAAAACATTTTATACCAATTATATTACTAAATAAATACGTGTTTTGACATATATAAAATTCTTATTGGTCCTCTTATATTAACTTATTTTTGTAATTTTTTATATAGCACACATAGTGGATATATAAAACTAAAAATTATATTATCATTTATAGGAATATGTTTTAATACCTTATTTATTATAATTTTAGATCAACATTAGGTGAATTGACCTTTTCACTTTTGCAATTTATGATCTGAATATAATATTTCAACATTTTTATTGAATGGAATATTTTTTTTATTGATATTTCAAAAAATTAGTAGAATAATTATAAATATTATAGATGCCTCTAGTTGAATGCATTTTTTATTTGTTTTTCCCTTATAAAACAAATTCTTAAAAATATTAACTGATGTATAAACTAGAAAGAAAAACTTCAACTTATAGTGATTTATGCAATAGAAGTGATTACATTTTTTTTTTTTTTTTGTGAGCAATGTTTATTAAGTTGTGAATCGTTATAATGTGTTAGTTTAATATGTAGTGCACTGGTGAATGGAAGTTCAACCATGCATAACCAGTTATGGTAATTTTACAAATGACTAATCAAATAAAAACATATATATTGTTATAAAGAGAGGACTAATCGACAAATATATAATTTTGTTTATAACGAAGATTTTCAGAATCCTTAATAATTAGTTTTTTAAGATATTGATTTTAAGCTTTATTTAATGCTTAGTATAATCAAATTGACCTCATCTGTGCATGTGCACGGGCAAAAGTGTACTAGTAGTTACTAATACTGCCTCTGATATTCCGCATCAAATGTTCTGCAAATACTACAAGTCTACAACTCTTCCCTCAACATTTGTTCCTATTTTACGAAGTGCATATATTGAATGGTGTTGACTACAATCATCGAAGATAACTAATTCTGCTTTTAGTTGGATAACACATTTGTAGTTATTCGATCTAATAGTTATATTCTCATCATCTTAGTTCTTATGGTAAAGATCCAAATCTGTTGGTTATTATATTCACGCATTTATTTATTTATTTATTTATTTATATTTTTGTCTGTACAACTTAAAATATATAAAACCAGTTTCATCATTTGACATGTGCCTGTTAAACATCTCTCTAGGTGTGAAGTCGGCATACAAGAAGTCGCAAAGGATTCTGCCCTCGGTAGATTGAAGGGGAGTGATAATGTGGTAAGCACTATATCTGCATTTGTACCTTTTAGCCCTCATGTGCTGATCTCTAAATAATCTAAAACACATGTTTGGACCATAATAATCTTATATAAACTTATGATTAATAACGAAAACTACCAGAAGTTTTTGGTTTCTTTCAAAATGAAATCGAACAGTTACTGTAAAATTTACATTCCTACCTTCACATTTGTGGTTATTTGACGAATTGCATCTCCAAGATTGTCATTTGTCCCAATAAATGCAAATCTCAGTTATGAGACAAAAAATCATCGAAAAACAAGATTATTTTATTGTTTTTAAATAATCATGTAGTTTCTTTTCAATTTGGAGATTATTTTCAACAATGCACGTACAAATATTGCAGCTAGAGATATACAGCCGGTGCTATAGAGAACAGCCACTGGTGATTCAAGGTGCTGGGGCAGGCAACGACACTACTGCTGCTGGTGTTCTTGCCGATATACTTGATTTACAGGACCTTTTTCAACA